ATCAAAAGCTTTTTCAGGAGAAGGGCGCTGTGACTTTTGCTATTGGTGCAACTTTAGCTTTTTGAAACATTTAGCCTTTTCTGCCATTTTTTGTCCTCATACAAAATGAACTAAGCACATTTTACATCCTTCAAATCTTTAGATCTGTTTACGATCTTTTACTGCTCCTTTCACATTTTCTTCTGGTTCAGCTACTTTCAGCTTCTTTGTGCAAATGTAAACAAAAATTTCAGCTAATTTCAGCAGTTTTTTGTGCTCCTTTCAGATTCTTTCGGCTAACTAAAACATTTTTGTACTTCTTCTAATGTCTTTCTGCTAATTTCAGCTTGTTATGCTCCTTTCAGCTTATTTCTGAAAGTTTCAGCTTTATATGCCATTTCAGCTACTATTTAGCTGTTTTATGCTAATTGAAGCCTTTTCAGCAAATTTTACATTTTTTGCACTCATTTCAACTTTTTTAGCCTAATTCAGCAAGACTGTGCTCTCTTTACTTCCTTCTTGCTAATTTAAACTTGTTCTACCTTTTCTTTGTTGCTTTTTTAGCTAATTTCAACTGTTTTCTGATAAATTCATTTTTGTAATTTCTGCTACCTTCAGCCAAATTAACAACTGTATGCTAATTTCAGCTTGTTAGGCTCCTTTCAGATTTTTTCTGCTAGTTTCAGCTTTTTCTGCGATTTCAGCTACTATTTAGCTGTTATGCTAATTTTAGCCTTTTCAGCTAATTCCATGTTTTTTTTAAACTTTTTTCAGCTTTTCCCACTTCTTTCTGGCCTTTTCAGCCTCTTTTCAGCTACTTTTGGATAATTTAAGCTTTTTTTTTTAGCTAATTTTCTAAGTATGACCCTCATTTCTGCTTATTTAAACCTAATTCAGCAAATATGTGTTTCTTGTGCATTCTTCTTCTAAGTTAGACTTGTTCTTCCATTTCAGCATTTTTTAAAACTAATTTCAGCTGTTTTTCCAGCAAGTTCTTCAGCAATAAGCATTCACACTGCATTTTTGCTGGAAATGCAATCTCTCTACTTTGTATTAAAATAAATCTAACAGTTATTGGAGGATATCACTATTGGAGGATATCACCTACCATCTTTCATGTCTGACTTCGACTAAAATCGTCTCCTGTTAAGAAATGAGAGTTGTATTATTAGACTGAGTTAAAGGCATTTTTTTGTGTTTTTCATTTTGTGTCATAATGATTCGTGTCTGGAATGAGGTGGAGCGTCAGATTTGTGATTACACGACATGTTTCTTGTGTCACCCTCCAAATGCAACAAACAAATCAAACAACAGTTAAAGATGAACACATTATTATGTTTAATTAGAGTAGCAGCAAAATGATGTTAGATTGTTTTCTTGTTGCTGATGATGGAAAACATGGAAATCTCTCCAAAACTCCTGATCCTGGTGATGGTCACTTCAGTCTAATCATTTTAAACATATTCCAGAATTAGCCTTTTATTAAACAAATGAAACAACATTTTTATTTTGTGTCACTTTTTTGTGTTTTTACTGAAATCGCCCCTGGTTGTTTCTGACGTGTAAAATGATACCTGCTCTGGACAATAATCCCATTAAACCCAGCAGCTGTTTAGGGCGACGTCTTGCAGAATTTGGCAGCCTAGTGCGCACGCTGGGATTAAAAAATGGCTTTGAGAAACGATGGGTTGTGTAACTGCTGAATTTTAAATCTGCACGACTCAGACAGAAAGAGAGAGAGAGAGAAAAGCTGCAGGGTAGGACAGCAACATCAGAGAGCAAATCACACAATTTAGATAAGAAATACAAAAAGAATTCAAATAAACACACAGTTCTGCTGGATACAGAGGGACTGACACATACAAAATGATCCAACACACAAATATTGACGAATGGAAACTTTAAAGTTAGATTTGAAGAATCGCTGTGTGGCATGTGTTATCCAAAGTTAGGAGCGTGCGACACCAACGACCACTTAACATTTATCCAGAACCTTTCCTCGTGCAAAACTTAAACAATCTGCATCCAGGCGGGCTGACTCTAGTTTAATATTAGCAGTACTGTTGATCGTTTTTTGGATTCAGGTTGTGATGCACACGTCATTTTATTTAAAACTGTTCATCAAACGTAATACAAACACTTTTATGATAATTAATTGCTTCGATAGGACGTGAGAGGCACAAACGCTCAATAAAAATGGTCAAATAAAATAAAAACTCTCACAGAAGTCAGCACAACCTGCATCATTTCCCCAGAAATACAAGACAAACACCAGGTAACAAGTAGCATCTGTGGCAAGGGCTTCTAACTTTGTTCTGATAGTTTATGTTGCATTCTGTTGAATAGTAGTCACCATCTTACCTGCAGTAGACAGATGTCATTGAACAGACAAGCTTTTAAAGGTTGGTTTCAAACATTGCTGCTGTATTAAAACAACTCCCATTTCAAATGTTTAATAAAGGTTTGTACAAATGGTATCTTCTAACCCTTTATACTGACATCACTTTATAATAAATGGTTATTTAAATTAAATTGTATATTTTTTTAACTGATGCTTAAAACATTTAATTTTGCAGCATGTTCCTCGCAGATTACTGTAATTACAATGTGGACAACAGTCTTGAACATTATTAGACATCAGCTTTTATGCAAGTGACCATTTAATACAAAAGTGATGGAGGTGTAAAATTCACAAAATTATATTTTTGATTATTGAGGTCATTTAGGATGGCGGGAGACAAATGCACCCACAAAGGTGTGTTTGTATCATAGACCAAGTGTCCCCACCATTTTTGTTGTTGGAAAATGAAGCCACTAGAATTTAATTTATGGAAGCCGTCACATCGTGTTTTTAGGACCAGCATCTGCACATTAGGAATGTGAGCTTTAAGCCCCGCCTACTAAAATGATGGTGTTACACGACTTTTCTTTAAAGCAGCAAAACGGTAATTACAGTAGTCCCTTGGTACTTCCTGGTTCGCTTTTTGCGAACTCACTCTATCGTGTGGTATTTAAAAATAAGATTGGACATGACACACAATTGTCTGATTGATGGATGAGCCACACCATCAGCATGTTTTTTTATATATATATTTTTAATTATTTAAAATTATTTAGCACCTGTTGCACATTTGTGCAGCCCACAGCTATAGAAAACGCTTCCTCCTGCACCTCCGTGCAGCCCACACTGCAGGATAAGCTACCTCCTGCAGCTGAACAGCTGTTCTCCGTGCAGAGTGGGAAAATGGGCGTGGCCAAGAACACGTGCAGGTGGCTGAGAGAAGTGGAGGCACAGAGAGGAAAATCATGACATTCTGTGATCTTTTAGAGCTTTTAGTTTAGAAACATTGTTTAGAATATTGCAAGAGTGTGGGAAGGGTATATATATATTTATATATAAGTAGTAGTTTATTTTAGTATATCTATGTACATATATATATATATATATATATATATATACACACTAAAATAAACTACTACTTACTACTTGTACTACTTTCCCTACTTTGTGTTTTTTCACTTATCGCGCAGCTTCAGGGTATGGACCCACCGCGATAAACGAGGGACTACTGTAATGTTAAATATGTCCGAAAAAATGAATTGTTAAACAAAAAGCAAGAAAAGGATTACATAAATCAAGTATCAACACTTGAACAAACATTTGAGGGTTTTTGTTGTTGTTGTTGTTGTTGTTGTCTCGCTTGAAACAATATTCATTTTGTTTTAGTGGAGGGGGCGGGGCTTTAAAATTTTTTTATTTTAATTTTACTGGAACCAGCCAGCAAGGTAGATGGTCTTGTTGAGGTTTCAACTACGAGTCCCACACCGACTAACAATTAGTTCAGTTCAAAGGATGTTTTCCATCTAATTCTTTATGCTAAATTATTTTGTCGGTTGTCTGCTGCAGGTAAGACACTAACCACTTATAAATACTCCACACAACTCCTCTTAAAAATCCTTTTGAATAACAATCTCTTTAACTCTTTGAACGTATTTTGGTCTCGACCTGTGTGTGTGAGAGAGTATGTGTGAGGGCTAGACCATCCATAATCAGGTTGAAACTGTCCAGATTGCTCAAGTAGTACAGACATCGAAGAAGTAGACACACCTGGTGCATCTTTCTGTCCTTTTTAAAACAAGCTGACACCTGGCAGGGGAGGCAGGTAGCCGCTCACAACTTTTTCTCCCACACAGACGGCTCTGGTCCTCACACAGGATGGCAGCCCAGCGGAAGCTCGTTTGGCTGCCATTAAGAGAAGCCTGTTTGGCAGGTAGACAGCAGGGCCCACCTAAGTGGCATGACCCCCCCCCCCCCCCCATAGGAAAAAGAACAGGAGGGATCATTACGGTAACTCCATCGCTGCAGTAGGAGCCCTTGGATGGCTGTTATATCCCTTGACATCATACATCATACTCGACTGTCATGCTGTTTGAATGTTCATGACGAAGAGAAACGTGTGGGAACGCTGGCGATTACTCTTTTTGCTTTAAAGGAGAAAATGCACAATTGCACTTTTTTTTTTTTTTTTTTTTTAAACACACACCCAGCGCTTTTTTTTTTTTTTTTTTTTTTTTTTTGCAGGAAACATCCAGTTCCTCAAACACTGATCTCTACAGAGATAATACATTCATCCAAAGCAATGGCGTTGAATATCATATTATTGTTATTATCGTAGAACAGACAGTATCATCACTTCATGGCTAAAACCTGAGATATCTCAAAATATTCCCGTATGAAACTGCACAACAATGCACATCTAAAAATAAAGGATGATCCATTATAGAGTATCGTTTGCAGGAATAATCTAATATATTTTATGTGAACTATACACACGTATGGACTATTTATCTATATGTATGTCTCAGAAGGCCGAGACCATCTGAGAGGTCAGGTCAAAACACAGAACCACACTGAGACGGAATGAAATACAGCAATTATCTGAAGCACATCGGCTCCAAAAGACAACGTCCTCGCAACAAATGCGTAAATAAAGTTGGATCTTTTTTAAATATTTTCTAACTCTCAGTTTTTGTCAGCAACTCAAAAGGCAGAAAGATTTAATTTGTTTTTTCCCCCAGCGTAAGGACAGATTTTAGGTGTTTCCTGTTGGCCTTCTCTTTGAAAACGACGAAGATCCGAGTTGCATCTCTTCATCGCCTTCGTTCCGCTTTCCTCGCTCTTTCAGCCCAAGCAGGTGTGACCGTTCATGTGGAGCTGATGTTTCGAGAACAACGCCCGAGCAACGTTCAGGTTTTTACAGCGTCCTCGCGGCACCCGGAGGGGTCCGACGTCTCCGTCACAAAAAATCCTCGTAGTCCAAAAGCTTGGAGTGTTGACGCGTCTTCCAGAGGCGGTAGAGGCGGAAATCGAAATACATCTCGATCATTTCTTTGCCTTGGAAAAGAAACAAGTTGGATCAAATTTAATACAGAGAAAAATATGACTTCTTTGCCATAAACGTCCATTTGTCTTCTGATCCAAACTGAATAAATGCGTTGAAACAGGTGAGTTTGTGTCTGTTTTTGCATTTTTGAAAACTTTATCCTCTTGAAAACAATCAAAACAGACATTTCTTCTTTGTCCACGTCCAGAGCCACAATACCTGCTACAACTGGGATTCTCAACTGGTGGCACACGGACCACTTTAAGTTTGTTGGAGGGCGCTTTTCTGGACAGTAGGGGTGATTTTATAAAACTAAAAATATTTAATGAATTTTAACATTTATTGATATTTTTACACTCTAAAATGTATGTGTCAAACTCAAGGCCCGGGGGCCAAATGTGGCCCTCGTTGACATCTTATCTGGCCCCCAAGATGATATGTGAAATGTAAAAATACTTCTATCTCTTGAATGTTTTCAGTAATCTTTGATTGTAATGTTGAAAGCACAACAGAGAACATCAAATGAGTCCAATCAAACTCTTGTTGAGGAGCCTGTGACCCAGAAAAGATGCCGGGTATCTGATTTGAGTTCATGTAGTTTCTGAAATTGGCCCTTAGTTTGAAAAGGTTTAAATTTTAGCCCCCTTTTGCAAGTGAATTTGACACCCCTGTTCTAAGACAAAATAAAAGGGAATTTTCTTGTAAAGAAGGAAAAAATAATGTAGTTTTTGCCCAGTTTATAAAAACTAAAACAATAAACTATGCATTCTTATGTGATTTGTTTTAATTGTAAAAAAAAAAATTACGTATCCTACTTTGAAGAAATAAAGCATAAAGTGAAAGTGAGTATGTTTTACTCCTTGTAACGTTTCTAGTATTCATATATTTGCAAACTAAATGACAAGAAAACTGCTCAAACTAGCCCTTTTAGTTGTTGTTATACCAATAAAATTCAGTTTTATGTCAGTTTTGGTCAAAGCTTGAAAGAGCCGCTGCAGAGGGACCAAAGAGCCGCAGGGTGCAGACCCCTGCTCTTGAACCACGAAAGAAGTTGCATCTATACTTTATACTACTACTATCTATACTTAATAGATATATAACCATAGATAACATGTCATTGTTTCTTCTTCTTCTTCTTCTTTCAGCAGGTCACTCTTCAGATGCCACCACATCTTCCTCCATCTCTGTCCTCACTCCAACTACCTCCATGTCCTCTCTAACTGCATCCATTTATCGCCTCTTTGTCTTTTTCCTGGCAGCTGCATTCCTAACATCTTTATACCAGTATACCCACTGTCCCTCCTCTGGACATGTCCACACCATCTCATTCTGGTCTCTCTAACTTTATCTCCCAGTTGTTCAACCTGTGCTCTGATGATCTCATTCTTTATCTTATCCATCCTTGTCACTCCTAAGGAGAACCTCAACATCTTCATTCCTGACTCATCCGGGTCTTTTTGTCCATGTACTCTGTCTCCAGACCATACAACATGGCTGGTCCCACCACTGTCTTATAAACGTTTCTTTTGACCTTTGCTGACACTCTTGTTGCAAATCACTCCTGAAACTTTTCTCCATCCACTCCATCCTGCCTGGACTCTTTTTTTCACCCAGTTTCCTGGACAGTGGACCCAAAGTACTTGCAGTCCTGCACATTTGTGACCTCTGCTCCTTGTAGCCTCAACGTTCCACCGGCCTCCCTCTCTGTCTTACTACGGCTGACTTTCATTCCTCTTCTTTCAAGTGCATACCTCCACCTCTCCAAGTTCTCTTCCACCTGTTCCCTGTTCTCACCACAGATCACAATGTCATCTGCAAACATCATCGTCTACGGGGATTCCTGCTGGACCTCATGTGCCTCAGATATGGCTGAAGTGATGTTCCAGGTTCAAATGATAATCTGTATTATTTTAGCTGTGCTTGTCTGAGTGTGTTTGGACAGTTTTCGGGGCCCACCTTGCGCAGACAGCTCCAGCGGTGACTCGAACTCGACAGAATAAGGCCTCATCAGATTCTTGAGTTTCTGGAACAGCTGTTGGTTGGAGATAAGAAAGAAACGCTAATTAAAATCCCACTTCATTTATCTGACGACAGAAAGCTTGTGTTTTCAGAGACAACGCACACAATGAGTTTAGAGACTAAAAGGCAGGAGCTGTAAAAGGTGTTGATTTGACTGTAGCGTTTATGGCTCAACATCTGTAAAACACCCGGGACATCTTTACTCCTTAATCCATAGTCTGTAGACTGAAAATTAAAGACTGGACAAATCAGATTTAAATTTACAACTGTTTTTGTTACAAAATGTGCCACATGTTAGGGGAACCAAATAGTAAATATCTTTTATTATTATTATTATTATTAATAAATATGTTTAAATTGAAAGTGTTAATGAGAAGCAGCCCTTTGTGTTTGCTGTGCTTGCAGTCTTTTAAAAGAGACAAAAGAAGACGTTAGATGGGAGGAGGTTGTTAAAGGAGGTGGAGGAGAAGTGTCTTGTCTGTAGTGCAAAACAAGCTGCAGGCTAATAACTAATCCAAGATAAACGAGGTGCATGCTGGGTAGTTTCCTGCTCGTCAGTTAATCACCGTTGACGCCATGACATTCGAAGATGCACAGTTTTGTGCCAATAAAGGCGAAATTCATTAAAATATTCATTTACGTTTGTTGAAAGGAGGGTGATCATGTAATTTCCCTGTTCGTGTAATTGTTTGTCTGTTATCAGAAAATCTCACAAACGGCTAAACAGAATTTGTTGAAACTCTCGGAAAGCATTTATGGAACACACATCTACAACTTTTTAGCTTTTGGAGTCAGCTTGAGTCAATATGGCCGCCATACTTTATCACCGTTATCTAACACAATACTGGCTATAACTCGGTCAGTTTTACAGATTTGGGGCTCAGATTTGTTGTGGTAGTATCTGAGAGTAGTCATCAACACACACTTCAAGCTCTACAATATTGCACAAGAGCTTAGTTTAGAACATTGCCATTATGTGTTGTAGTCAACCTTGTCTGCCTGTTAGCAAAATACCTCGTGAATCGCTCAGTGGATTTTAATGAAACTTTCAAAAAATAATCATTGTGTGCACATCTACAACTCTTTAATGTTTGAAGTCATCTTGACTCAAGATGGCCACTACAGCTAGCCATCCATATCAAAGCTAAAATGACTATAACTGAGTCAGTTTTACAAATACACAGCTAAGATTTGGTGTGGTGGTAGCTAAGAGTCATCCTCAAAGGATATTTGTTTAAAACAGTGGCAATGGGTGGAGTATTTTCACTTAAACACCAAATTTAATCTGATGACCACATAATTCATGAATTAATACAAAAATATATATATATGAAGAGAATTAAAAGCACAAAAATCAGCTTTTGGCTGTGCTCCCAAGCAAGCTCTCTTTAATATTTACTTAATTTGAATAATTACTTGATACCTTGTATTTTTATACATGGTTTAAATTGCTCGCTGCAGATTTATTTATAGAAATACACACATTTTAGTGTGTTGTATGAAAAAATAGATTTTATGATGACATCCATTTAAATCTGGAGCCTAAAGCCCAACATGTAGCATCATTTAAATTAAACTCTGGCGGCCTGTTCTGTTGTCTTGGCTCCATTTTTAAAAACATAGTAATGTTTCAGTGTGTGTGTCGTGTCGAGGTGCAGAATCCACCGATGTGCCGTTTGCTCTGCGGTCTGTCAATCAAAGCATTGTTGGGCAGACTGGGTCTGTGCACATGAGTTATAGATTAGGTGTACTTTGTTTGTTTTTTTATCCCAGTCTGTGTGCCACCGTGGGTCTTAATATTTGTTCACATCAGGTTTAAAGAGGTGCAGTGTCTGTGGTTCTTGACTCCACGCGGTAGCATCGCTCAGAGGAGATAACGGTCAGACGGGTGGAGGAAGAAGCAGCTCGATGGATAGCCTGCTGGTTATCACAGACACGAGGAGAATAAAGGCACCAAAGAATAAAAGTCTGGGTGCAAAACCAACCTTAAGATTCATAACTTAAATTCTTATAGCACTTTTTTGTAAAATAAAAAAGGGTTTGCAATTGTTTTGCATGCTTTTCCCCAAACTTCAATACAGTAAATTAAATATGAAACAATCATTACATTATACAACATATATAAAGCATTGTCATTCAAAAACTATTTTACTTTATACAGTAAAGCAATTGGTTTTGCTATTTTTATTGTTAAGTAATTTACATGAGATTTCCATGTCAGCTACTCATCAATAGCAAAACCCCAAACATTTATTTCATTAACTCTATGAATTTCATCCATCCATCCATCCATCCATTATCTTTACCCGTTTATTCCATTTTGGGTCACGGGGGTCGCTGGTGCCCATGTCCAGCAATCACTGTGCGAGGGGCGGGGTACACCCTGGACAGGTCGCAAGTCCATCACAGGGCCACATAGAGACAAACAAGACAAACAACCATTCACTCTCTCACTCACACCTAGGGACAATTTAGAGTTACCAATCAGCCTAACATGCATGTTTTTGGTCTGTGGGAGGAAACCGGAGCACCCGGAGAAAACCCACGCATGCACGGAGAGAACATGCAAACTCCACCCAGAAAGGCCCCTGGACCGGGGTTTGAACCAAGGACCTTCTCGCTGAGAGGCAGCAGCTCTACCAGTTGCGCCACCGTGCTGCCTCTATGAATTTCAATATTGCCAATTTTAAATGGGACTTTGATCATTTTATTTCTATTACTAAAAATCATGTAGTTTTTTTTCTTCCAAATTTAATGCTAACTTATTAAGTTGGAACCAAGTTTGTATTTTTAAGAATTCTGCCTGTATCATCTCTAACATCCGTTCAATATCTTCACCAGAACAAAAAAAATGTGGTATCATCTGCAAATAAAGCACACTTCAAAAGTCCTGACACATCAACCAGATCATTCAAATACAAAATAAACAAATTTGGTCCCAACACAGAGCCCTGAGGAACTCCACATCCATTTACGCAAAATTCAGATCTTATGTCGTTTACCAACTGTCTCCTATTATTCAAATAACTGGATACCCACTGTAGTGCTAATCCTCTAATGCCATATTTATTCAGTTTTTCAAGGAGAATGGTGTGGTCATTAGTGTCGAAGGTGTTTTTTAAATCAACAAAAATGAGACGACTTTCAATCAGACTAATGGGAATAAAAGTTTTTGGTTTTTTTTACACATTTTTGCTAGTGTTGGTTTATTTGTATGTAAAAACAGTGATTGAGTCAAGTGAAATGGAAACAGTCATTTTCCAAAATAAAATACTCAGCAAACCCGTGCTGTTAAACCAATTATCCGGTATTTGATTTATTTATTATTATTTTTTTTTAAGAAAAGCATTTCTTATTTTTGTGCATCCACTACCAAATGGTCCATGGACCAGTACTTGTCCTTGACACAGTTAGGGGACCCCTCACCCCATCTTTGAGAAGATTAATAGATTATATTATATTATTATTATTAGAGTTTTGAACCTTCTTGCTGCAAGGTCACAGAGTTCACAGCAGCCTGACTTTCCACCAAATCCTCTTCTATTTCACTGTAATATTTGTTAGTATTCCAGAGTGAATGAATATGTGTATTAATACGTGAATACCTTTTCTCCATTGGGGTTCCCCAGGACGTAGCATCCCATTATGTGAATCACATTTGGTTCTGGGTTGATTTTACTCATGAAGCGACTCAGTCTCTTCCAAAATCTAAACAAAAGGATAAAATACATGAAGAAAATTACAATGGCATGAAGAGATTTCAGTAATATTTTAAGACTAGCACATATAAATGTGTAATCTCCTTTTGCTTTTTGTAGTTTGATGTTTTGATAAAACATTTAAAGTTGTGGGTGACATTAAAAAATGCTGGGCAGTTTTCTGCTCCTAAAAGTCATTGTCAAGATTATAAGACTGGCCAGGTCTTTAGGTTGTTTGCAGCTATTTCCATATGAAGCGTTATGTTTTTGCATTAAAAGACAGTAGATTTATCAGGAAGCAGAAACAGACCCACAAGTAAAAGCATCTTACTGGCTCATGTCTTCCTCTTTTTCCACTTTAGCAAAAGTCGCCACTTTATTCTTCAGTAAATACAAATGGCCGGGTCCTCCCTGTTAAACAAACCCATAAATGACAAAATGCAACACCTGCACAGCAGCGTGTCAGATTATTTTATTAACTGGGCTCTACAGACCGACTTTTCTTTGCTTCTCCTCACCTGACAAAAGATAAGCATCCTCCAGAACTTGCTTCCTCTCCTGTATGCTGTGAGCTTCTTATCGATTTCCTCTGTGGCCCAGAAAAAGAGAGGGATTGATGGGAATGACAGACAAATAATTACAAAAACAGGAGCGTTAAAGTGAAATCAAAATAAAAGAACAGCTCTGAGAAAGAGATACGAGCTTAAACCAAATCTCTGGAGGGAGACTTTAAGCGCAGGTGTGATGAAAGGCCAAAGATGTAACTTTCAATTAAATCTGACAGTAAAAGAATGTGTTACGATAATATAAATTAGATTAATGAACGTCAGACGACATTATTCCATTTGCTTTTGTTAAAAAAATAACGAGAGATGTCAAAGTCTACAGGTACCTCGCCTTCCTTTCTGATAAAGGAACTGATGAAACCTTTTAATGTTGTTCACAGACTCAATCGCATGTTGCACATTATTTTCCTTTAATTATCAATTTAACAAAATTGCTATTTCCTGTTTAAGGTCATGAGGAGATCTGAAGAGTGCTGTGGGTGTCCCCATGAAGACACAAGGTGCAGTTTGGACAGAGAACTGAAATTTATCAAGACAAACGCCAGTTTATTTGACTACCGTATTTTCAGCCATATACATCGCACCGCCCTATAAAACGCGTCATTCCAAATATGTCTAATAAAGTGGAGGGGAATACTTTGCTGTGATTGGTCAAAAAAGATTGGAGTACATCAGTTTCTGCGAAACAGACGCAATCCGCTAATCCTGACCAGAACTGCCCCACAGAGAAAACCCCGCCCCCTCATTTGAATATAAGAACATGAAATAAATAAAAAAAATAAAAAAAGAACATGAAATAAAAAAATAAAAATGGGGTTAACAAATAAAAGCCCATGAAATATGTAAAGTAGCTTTACAAAATAAAAGTGTCACAAAATGAAACTCTATTATTAAATAAATAAATAAATCTTGAAGAAAAAAAAACATCTTGAAATAATTAAAAACTATATAAAACTATTTAAATATTTTATTTCATGGGAACATATATTTATTTAATGGAATATTTATTAATAATTTTTAAATAACAATGATTATTTATTTATTTAATTTTGAATGGAATGACTTTCCATATAAAGCTACAAATCTGTAATAAATTGTTGACATCTATAGTTTTTTTTTTTCACATTAGGACAAAGAAAAAAATCTAATTTCTGTAAAAATGTGAAAAATAATATTTTAATGTCTATGTTCCTTTTAATCAAATTTAAATGTCAAATGATGAAAGCCTAGAAAAAAATGTGAATTCTTAATAAGTTTATTTAATTAATGAACTATTCTTGTCTAAAAAATTTAAGTTAAAGTGAATATAAATGTTAAGTTAGTTTGCTGGATTAATTGTGACAATTAATTTTTTTTAACTAAAATCAGAGTTTATTTTAACTTTATTATTTTAATCAAAAGTTAACATTTACATTGAATTTTTACATTCGCATTGACTTGTATTTTTGCAGAAACCTTTATTTTAATGACTCATAAACTGTTATGTGCTGATGTTCTTTTTATTTTTTTTTTTAATTTTATTAATTTTCTCTTTGCTTCCATAGAGCCAGACATTTTTGGTCAGTTGTTCGGTCTTTCTGAAAGTATTTAATAGTTTCTTTCTGTCTGGTCCCTGTTCCTGAACATCCCTGCACTCTGTGCACCGTGTGTGCATAAAACATAGAAACGCAGAGGACAAAAGAAAATGTGACAGAATAATAATAATAATAAAAAACTATAAATGTCAGAGGAACAGTATCTGAAAGTCATATAAGAAAGCCTGAAATTATAATTTTAGGAGATTCCAACAAAGTCTGGATATTTGGAAGTTAAAGTAAAAGACAGCTCAAGACTTTTGCACACATTTTATTCACTTTTAAAGAGGCAGTACAAAAACACAGCCAACAACAACACTTACCTAAAATATCATCAAAGGTTGCATGTTCATGGTCCTAAAGGAAGAGACATTTTAGTCAAAGTATTTTAAAGAACTCCTTTAAAGGGAAGGAGCTCATAAATGATTGATTGTAAGTTTCGCTCTTTTGGTGTTTTTGTGATGCGTTCGTGTGCACAAAGCATTAATGGTGTGTCCAACTCACATAGAGGATGGGGATGATGGAAGGGTCATCCCTGCGGATTATGGTAGGAACGTACTCTGCCTTGGGAACTTTAGAGGAGATCAGCTGTGTGTGACGCAGGAAGAAAAAGTAAAAGGAGAATAGATTTAGGAGTTTGGATACAAAGAATGGATAAAACTTAATAAATTGGAAAAATCTGAGGGTGGAATTATATTCACACTCATATTTTCAGTGGGATGAATTTCTAAAATAATGGTGGACTCAGTAGTTAAAGTCAACTGTCTTTTGTGGTGATTTAAGTAATTAAGACATACGAGGATTAGATGCCATCTGGGAGGCTGCAGGTCCAGCAGAGCTCAACGGGTCTGCAGAAGTCACAACAACTAAACAAATATAACCTCTTGGCTTAGAGCACAAACCAATCAGAATGTCAGAAGCTCTCAGAGCATACACGAACCCAAGACCACACACTGCATGGCTGACCCAGGTATTCCCCATTACCCAGAATAGAATATTTAACAAAAGGGTTTCATTCATTCAATCTATATTTATACAGGTTAGTCTCACTGAGTCACGAGGACTCATTTACAAGAGACCTGGTTTAACCAAAGAACACAGGTGAGGTACAGTTAACAATAGACAATCAAGGCATAAGTAAATAAAATAAATTGTATAAAAATGAAACAAAACCAGCTACATTATGAAGCAATGTAAAATACTAAAAACAGGAACGTCGGCATTGGTTTTTGCCATGAACTTAAGAGTTGTTTAAAATCCCTTAGAGAGGTCAAGGTGGAGAGCTTCAGATCTTTTTGCAAGATATTCCAGGATAGAGGAGTGGAGTAAGAGAAGGCCCGTTTGCCAAGTTTGGTCCACACTGAGGGAACAGTTATGTCCTGAGAGCGCACGCTGTAGCTGCACTCACGCAGTGACATGTAGGAGGAGATGTATGAAGGCAAAAGACCAAGAAGTGATTTAAATATGAAATTGTACCAGTGAGATATTCTGTGTGAAGTTAATAATGACCACTTAACCAATGAATACAGGGTGCAGTGGTAGTTTACAGTAGTTACAGCCAGTTATGAATCTTAGCGCACCGTGGTAGGCAGCGTCCAACATCTGCAAGGTGCTTGTAAGAACATTCATGTAAATAATGTCACCGTAGTGAGGGATGGAAGGGAAGGAATGTAGCAGTTACAAGTTGTTTCCTAGCATTCAGAGATAGACAGGATCTATTTCTAAAAAAGAAACCCAATTTTACTTTCAATTTCTTTACCAAATTTTCAACACGAGGCTTAAAAGAGTGATGCGTATCGACCAAAATACCCAAGTATTTGTAAGAATCGACAACCTCAATAGGGACACCATTCATAGATAAGATAGAAAGAAGGACAGCTGGTACCAACTTCCTGTTTGAAAACAACAGCCCTTTGGTTTTGTCAACATTTAGCACCAGTTTGGGATGGAACAAATCTGACTGAATGATGTCGATTGCAGACTGTAAGAGCTGAAAACCCTTAGCAACTGTTCTAGCATGACACTAAACAACTGTGCCGTCATTGTAAAAATGTATGGATGCACCAGGGATGACCTACATTACTTATGTTAATTGTGAAAAGGGTGGGTCCTAAGATTGAGCCTTGCGGTACACCATTGTTAACAGTTAGGTAACTGGAAGAAGTACCATTATTATGTTGAACACATTGCCTCCAATAGTGTGGTCTGAGAATGTTGTGATCGAGCAGTCAAAATAAAATGTTCTAAAGCATCTTTGAATGCACAAGAATCAAATGTTCTTTGCATTTAACACAAATATACCTGGTACTTTGGAATCAATGGCATCACTTTTCATGATGTACAGCTCTAAATAAATCTTTTTAAGAGCACACAGTTGGCTTATTTATTGAATTGTCTATTAAATATTTTTATTTTAAATCTGAGTTTTTCTTCTGTGCTAGATTTTTAATCCATACTCGGTAATTATGATCCATCTCAAGACTGGCTGCCATGAAAAATGTTTGTGCAGAACATGCAGTGATGGATGGTTTGTGTGGACTGTGTGCTATATGAATTTAAATCAACTCAGCTTGAACTTAACCTCCACAGCTGCAAATGAAAACAACTCTTATCTGCTTGTTGAATAGACATTTAGGATGAGCTTTCCTTTAGTGGACGCTGTTAGAAATCAGCAGCACTGCTCTGTCTGCTTCCTTATCTACCGCTTTAAAAATACCAACTGTTGAATCTCAAAATCTTTGTTTACACCGACGTTGCCTTTTCGTCTACAAGAAAACCTTTTTAAATCTTTTCTCTGACACTAATATTCTTATATCTGTATTTTCTTCTTACCTTTTATTCTTTTCGCAAAATTGTGTGGTGGGATGACGAGTTCTGTTTTTATTTTGCATTTATTGAATCTCAGAATTGTGACGTTTGGCTTTAAAGTGATGTCATAAGTGTATTCCAATTTTGGTTGTCTTCATCAAACCCTGGCTATGGATTGTTGGAACCAATGTTTGACAATTGCAAATAAAATTATTGTTATCAATAATCATCAACAAGCCACGCCCACTTTTGCCAATCATTAACATATTGAAGTGAACGGTTCAGGTTGTGGTCCCAAGCAATGTCATCCAGTTTGGTAGCAGCCAGTCTGAGTGTTTTTGTGATTAAAAAAAAACATTTTGTTACCATCGGTATGTTGAACGTCCATATAAGACTGAAATTCAAAAATACACCAAAAATCAAATTATTATTGATGAATTCTAAATATTCTGCACTGATTAGATCTGTGTTGTGTACATACAAAAGAAGTTTCAAGCAACTAGGTGTAAAAACAAATTAAATAATTGTTTTTAAAATTGATATTTTATGTAAAGCATGAACAAAAGTTTATTTATTTTATTTTATTTTTTTACAAAATGCTAATGGTTAGACCTACTGAAACAAAAACCAAATGTTTCGACTAGGACAGCCTAGAAATCATCCCTTCTAATTTTCATAGATATTCAAAAATGTGATGCTAACTTATTAGCATTTAGCAGTTTACAGAAATTACTCAACAAAAATTAAATAAAATAAAAAATTTAATTACAATCTTTTAAAATGCCACAAGTCTGAGTATCAGAACAGCTTCACCATCATAACAACCTGAGAGTAAAACTGAGATCTTGTGGGACCTCAGGGGTTAAAATGATCTAGTTGTGGCTAATATGACATGAATGGGACTTTTGTTTTGTTAATAAAGCAAACAAATGACTGGAAGTTTGTTTTTCTCTACAGCTGTTAGGATGTGCTCACCGTTTAATGATTCACAACTTTTCATGGATCGTTTCTTTAATAAATATTGTGACATCAATAAAATCAACCATTGTTCAAGGATGATACCATTTTAATTAGAAAACTGGTCATTTTCAAGTGTGTGCCACTGCATTAATATGTTGCAAAGTTAAATCTAACTCCCCGTCTAACCCTCCACTAATAGATTTTTGCACTTTATTTAAACCTGTCTAAAGCTTTTGACACTGTGGACCATGACATCTGTTATAAGCTCTCAGAAATTGGTTTCTCAGATCACACTTTTGGTTGGTTCTCTAAACATCTCTCAGATCGGAGGCAATGTGTTCAACGTAATAGTACTTCTTCCTGCTATTTAACTGTTAACAACGGTGTACCACAAGGTTCAGTCTTAGGACCCACCCTCTTCACAATCTACAAAGTACATAAGTAATGCAGTCAGATCATTCTTGATTCATCTGTACATTTCTATGCTGATGATACAGTTGTTTATTGTCAAGCTAGAACAGCTGCTAAGGATTTCCAGCTTTTAGTCTGCATTCGACATCATCCAGTCAGATTAGTTCTGTCTCAAACTGGTGCTAAATGCTAATAAAACCAAAGGGATGTTGTTTTCAAACAGGAAGTTATTTCCAGCAGTCCTTCCTTCTTTTTTTGTCTGTACATCATCTGTGTTCTTTGTTTAAAACAGGTCTCTCTAGTAAATGTGACTCAATGAGACTAACCTGTATAAATAAAGTTCGAATGAATTTTGATGAAATAATCTGAAGATTGTAACACTGATTATTTACCATGATTTTGGGAGGAACAAAGTCGTCCCCCTCACAGGCCAGCCTCTCCATCTCTTTCTCCTCCTCCCAGTCTGCGGCTTCATCAGGGCCTCCTTCCTCTAGGGTGCTACTAGAGGTCTGCAGGTCTCCACCTGGGGGAGAAGATGAGACACGGGTGAGGATCAGGGTTTGAGCTAATGGCATGTAAAAACAGAGGTTCAAAGCAAGAGAGGTGATGAAAACTAAATTTGAGGGGGAAATTAACTCCAAGAAGTCAAGACAGAAAATTGTGCAGAAAATAAAAAGTTGAGTTACTCTCTAAGTTACGTCTGCTCTGATGTTTCAGTTATTTGACTAAAAATGACAGATAGAAATGACTTGACTTTTTTCATGCAAAATCATGTGACTAAATCGGTAAAAAAAAAAAAAAAAGCCAAAGTTTTTGTAAAAGGCAATTTGGAAACCGTTTCCATCACTTTTGATGTGGACATCATAAGCAAAACAAGGCCGATTCAGTTTCACCTGAGGAACAAGATATTGTTTTACCCCCATTAAGGTGGAAAAATAAGGCACCAAACACACATATAGGCGTTTTGACTGAGACATTAATGAAGGTGGAGATAAAAAAATAAAATAAAAAAATACAACCACAAGCTCAACGCAGACAAACAGCATGCAAACAAGCTCTGCAGAAGCACAAAGAAGTCCTCAGAGTGACGTTTGGACTCGGACACACACTCCATACTCACAGAACGAGAGAGCACCACAAAGGTGAAGAAAGACTCACGGTCATAAGGAGACAGATGGACGGGGTCAGCGTCAACTACAGGGACAGTCACTTTGTATGTGTGGTTGTTTTGTGTGTGTGTGTTGGCCAGGAGGCGAGTTGTTAAACTGCGATGCCAAAATGTTGCCTCGTTATAAGATCTACAGAGCAGTCGTTCTCACAAGAGGCGTTTGTTCAGAGCTGGTGGAAGCTGTCGAGCCTTGAAGAGAATCCATCTATGCTTGAAACCGCGTTAATAAGATTGTTCACATTTTACAGCCTTAGATTAATCTTTACAGCCTAGACTTCATTTGATGATTTATCTTAGCGCTGGCTCAAGCTCATACGCAGCACGTGTTCCAGCTATCAGACAGGATCTTTAGCAGCTAATTTCTGACTAACGATTTAACGTTTTAAGCACAAACCAAGTTTGAAAATTAATGTATGTTGACTGAGCATGGATGAATTATAGGCACAAAGAAAATTAAATGATTCTATAAAATTTACAAAGACCTTTTCACAGTTTTCTTTGTCATGATATATATACTTTATAATAAGATAAGAGAATATATCTCGTATGTGTGGCCAGTCATTGTGGTCGGGGTTTGGAGTCCAAATCATGCCTGTTCAGTAGAAAATGCATAAATGCACAAACATAACTTGTCAGTGGCTTTTTCATTAAAAAGTGGTTTTACAAGAATCTGAGAGCTCCTTTCAGAACATTTCAAGAACAAACCTCTCCTAATGTCCAATGAAACAAACATTCTTTATGCAGATATAAACTGTATACCGTGTTTTCCGGACTATAAGTTGCACCAGAGCATAGGTCGCATCAGTCAAAAAAATGCCTCATGACGAGGAAAAAAAATATATATAAGTCGCTTTGGAGTATAACTCGCATTTATTTAGAAGCGTATTTCACAAAGTGCCAGAACAGATATTTAATCTGAAATAACAATAACACATAAGCCTAGAGGGCCCTCTCGCATCTGCAAATGGTAATGTTTACAATTTGGTTCATGTCAGTATGAATGAACATTTAACGCATCAGTCAAAAATTGTGTCATGAATAGGGAAAATACGTATATAAGTCACTTCGGACTATTAAGTTGCAGGACTTGCCAAACTACAAAAAAAAAGTGCGACTTATAATCCGGAAAATACAGTAACTGTAAAACTACGTAATTAACCCCCTTTAACTGAACTTTGTATAATGTGGGCAAAGGTGGGCAAAAACATTAATATTGTGCACACTCTGGAGTAGGATTTTGCAAGACGTGCAAAAATAAGTCATGATTTTCAAAAACTGGCCAAGTACATCGCCACCACATGGCTCTCTGGACAATTGGTTGTAAATTCGTCGAATACAGCAAAACCACAACTCAAAATGTGTGTATTTTCCTAAATTAAAAGAAAATTAAATTAAATAATGTTAAATAATTACAAAGTATTTTTTAAATATGAATGCCCTGAGAGGACTTCTGTTGTGACTTGGCGCTATTTACATAAACTGAATTCAATTGAAAAATTATGAGTCAAATTTGAGTCGCCGACTAATCTCCAACTGCGAGACGCTAAATTTGTGAAAAGTGTAGAATTTAGACGACAAAAAAATTAAAGGGTTGATTAGAGCTGGACAAAACAAACATAACACAAACATTTTAATGTAGTTTTACACAAACACGTAGTTCACTCATTCTAGAAACACCTCATACAACCTTGTTATATTAGTTTATATCAATAAATACACATTAAATACTGGTACTGAATAGCTTTTTTTTTCGTGAGGACTTTATTCCACTTGCTTCTGGCTTCGTTTAATCACGTGTGTAAACTCTATCTTATTGTAAAACTGAATTATAAAACTGCACTTTTAGTGTCTATTTAAACATTTAAAATTAGATTTTTTTATTGCCAATCTGTTGACATATTGGGTCAGCAGGGCCGGCCCAAGGCATAAGCTAACTAAGCGGCTGCTTAGGGCCCCGGGGCCACTAGGGGGCCCACTAAATGGAATTTTTTTTTTTGTGTGTGATTTTTTTATAAGATTCTATTTAATATTTTAAGTTCAGCTTTTGCAAATTATTGCATACATACACCGTTTTACGTGGTTTCAAGTAATTGTTCATTTACATTATTTAAGCATTTCCTTGATTTATTTTATTTTATTTTATTGTGCCTGTTTTTGCACAACTTAATTTATTTTTACGCATCTAAGTGATTTTGTCTGTTGTTGTGTGTTGATCTTGCACTACAAATTATTTTGAACATTACTGCTGCAGTTCTTTGGAACCAAAGATAATAAATCAGATGACACTTTTGCTGTAAAATACATTGCATACTGGTGTTTTTTTTTCTCTTTAGTTACTTTTAGTACTACTAGATTGCATGTGTCAAACTCAAGGCCCATGGGCCAAATCCGGCCCACCATGACCATTTCTGTGGCTCTACACCCTATGATATCTTCACATAGGATAATGTAAACAGGGCTGTCATAATTGCAATGAGTTTATGTTTGGTGGGTGAATGATCTGATCATCTGACTGGTGATTACAGTAATCACATTATTAGCAGAAATAGAGGGCCCCAAACCAAATTTCACTTAGGGCCCCATGGGGGCTTGGGCCGGCCCTGTGGGTCAGGATCTTTATGACTCCAAAAATCTTCTCTTTAATGTTCTTCACCGCTGTGCAGAACAACGTGGGTCCACAAGTGCAGTTATTGCTGCACATTTTGACTCTTCTCTCTTCTGTGCTGCTGCTATAAACTGCACCTGTGCCTGCATGCGTGTGTGTGTCTTTGTGTGCACGTGTGTGAGTCCCGTGTTAACTCACTCTCTTTGGGTTCGTGAGGAGCGTCAGTCTTGACAGGGGTGGGATCGCTCCAGGAACGGCTGAAACTCTTCGATCTACCTTCAGCGAACGCTGGCAGGCGAGGAGAGATAGTCACACACGCACATGTGCACGCTCACACACTGACAAGCCTGCACAGGGTTTTTTTTTTCCTCTGTACGTCCATCGCCGAAAACACACACACGAGTGTTTGCAAAGACTGCGGCTACAAGTACACGTACAGCACACACGTGACCCAGAAGCTGCCCAACAAACAAACGAGCGCACACATTTATATTTCCTGTTGGTTTTATGATCTGTATGGATTCAAAGTGAGTCACTGAGCGATATAACAGAACCAGCTCAGCACAAATCAAATAACGTCTATTTTTAGACCATTTGAAAGTATTTGACATGCTTTATTAACAATTTTTCCTTAAGGCACGATAGTTCTTGGTTGGTGAGTTATGTATTTACTTTTAGCTGCTTTAAATTTTCCTTCTAGAATCAATTTCTTCATCATTCATATACCGTATTTTTCATTCATAAGGTGCACCGGATTATAAGGCGCATTCAGCGAAACAAGTTAATTTTGACAGATTTTTGAGCGCCGTGTATCACAAAAAATCAGTTCGAGGTCAGTAAGCACAACCAGAATTAATACCAAGGCGCACTGTTGATTTATGAGAAAATTAAAGGCTTTTTAAGTGCGTCTTATAGTCTGAAAAATACGGTAATGTCTCGTGATAAAAAGCACATTTTCTCCACAAAAAGTTATTTTTAATAAATGTTTTAATTTCAGCAAGTTCTGTTTAGTGATAGAATCTCAAACCCTGAGATGTTTGAAAGCTTTGATTTTATCTCTTTTTTTTTTTTTGTTACCTAATTTGTAACAAATTGTCTTTAGGTTAATTTAGGCCCTGGACATTTATTTTCTGTGCCATTAGATGAAAAAACAAAAAATAAAATCACTCAAAACTGCAGAGGTGTAAGAAAAGTATCCGTAAATGGGTTTCAGCACAAGTGTATTAACTCTGATTACAAATAAAAGTCACACGTGTTTTTATGTGATTTTAATTTATTTTACAATATCCAATTTGTTAAAGTAGGAGCAACAAATGAGAATTCGAATTGTTTCACTAAACCTGATGTAACCATCATTACAGTAACTTCTGCATTTATTTCCATTCTGACACAATCTTTAATTTGAAAGTAATGGATGTAAAATTAAATAAAATAAAATACCTGCTAACGGCAAATAATTGATCAATTTTATGCAATGGTTCTTGCAATCTTGTTGGTATACTTTACTGTTTTACACTTACTTTTTATGACTTTTTTGCCTTATTAATTTGAATTTAAACAAATTTTAATTTGATTTTGGATGACATTTCAACAAAACGATTAAAAAGTACATGAAAAGAGCGGTGGTCTGATGAGACTAAAATTTTAGCTAACACTTCTTGTTATGCTTAGAACAGGATCCCTACAGTGAAGCATGGTGGTAGCAGCATCATGATGTGGATGTGTTTTGTCTGCAGAAACTGGGAAACTGATAGGAGTTAAAGGCTAGATGGATGGAGGATAACAAATAAAAATTCTTAAGAGCAACTTGTTGCAGTCTTCAAGAGATTTGAAGATGATGATTCAGCTTCCAGCAGGACAATCACCTAAAACAGCCTCTCTGGCTCTCCAGTATTTACTGGGAGGTGAATACACATGCCCTGTTTATCAATTGTGGATATTTTTGGAATTATTAAATGGAAGTTTTAGTTTTATTTTGTGTATTTTTCTTTGAACTTTGCTATCAAACGTTCAAACAGACACAACAGAAAAAAGTCCCTCTGCAGCACAGTTTTCATGCTCTTACATACAAAAGATGCAAAAGTTTTTGGCTGATCCAAAAGACAGAAAACTCATAGGAAGACCAGAGCAGAGCTCGACGCCACACATGCAAATTACACCACAAAAAGAAAATATAAGAAAAGAAAAGTAAAAATGATGATGGTGAGGTGAGTAACATCACAGTCGGTTTGAACAAACGTATCAACCAAACACACACGTCTGACTCACTCTGTGCTTTAATCCTCCTGCTGCCCACCATCCGAAGATGCTTCCGGAAGTTCCTGTGGGTAGCGAAACCAAAGCGGAGGAGGGATAACGGAAAACAGAGGGATGGGATGGCAACACGGAGAGGAGAAGGAGGAAGAGGTGGGCGGGCGGGAGAGCCGGGCGAGACAACAAGGAACAAACTTCAATGTCAAGATTCTCCTGAAGGTTGAAAAGAGACAATTAGGCCAAATAAAGCTAACATTTTGTTGTCAGTGTGAGGAGAAAATAGGAGTCAGAGGTGCATTGTGGGAGGAAAACAACATATCTTCTATTATTATCATGTTGCTCGACTTTACATGTGGTCCACTTAGCAAACTGACTGCGTCAAAAAGAAAGACCAGATTTATTCATGCAACAGAAAAAAAGGAAAACCCAGTTTTTGTGACCTGCTGTGCTGCTGGCTTTAATTTGTTTATTTTATTTTATTTTTCTCTCTGTTAAGACTTCAAACAGTGGTTTTGTCAAACTCTTACACAAGAAGCCTAAGGAATAATTATAAAATAGATCAAAATGTATGTTCTGGTTCCTTTAGGAACTTGAAAAAAAATTATAAAATTAAATAATCCATCCATGCATCATCTTCCGCTTATTCTGAAGTGGGGTCGCGGGGGCAGCAGCTTGAGCAGGGAGTTCCAGACATCTCTTTCCACATCCACCTCTTCTAGCTCTTCTGGGAGGACTCCAAGATGGCCCCAGGCCAACTGAGAGACATACACCCCTTTTCCATAGGTCCTGCTGGGCTTGGCCCTTATTGGGCCGTTACAGGTCGGATCGCTTCATTTTCTGTTTCCACAGTGCCCATTAGTGCCCCTTTAGTGGGCAGATCATTATTATCAATGCACCGACACCTCTTGGAAAACCTTCTCGTTACGTGTCGTTCCATCTAGCTCGCTCTGAACTTTTTCGTCAGCCGGCAAACACAAAAACGCCTGAACTTCAGCATTTGACCACGGTTGTGACATTATTGTTTGTTTATACCTTCAAAATACTCCAAAATACACTCCTCCGGATTTGAGTTGTTTCTAATGGCGGGTTAAAAAGAAAATGGCAGATTGGGTTGAGGCGGAAGTTTATGAAACTCCGCCCTTTGAACAATGACGCTGCCCCCTGACCAATCAGTAACTGACAGTGCACTGACGTCACGTTCTAGCGTCCTGCTTGGCCTCAATGAAACCACAGAGAAGTAGGTACTGAAAAAACAAGTCGGTTCTACGAAGAAGGCCCTGTGGAAAAGAACATGGAACCGGCCTGAGCAGGGTAAAACGGGGCCAAGGAGGAACTGTGGAAAAGGGGCAATAGTCTCTCCAGCATGTCCTGGGTCTTCCTGGGATGTCCTCCCAGTCGGACAAGCCCGAAGTACCTTCCTAGGGAGGTGCCCAGGGAGCATTCTTACCATATACCCAAACCACCTCAACTGGGTCCTTTCGATGTGGAAGAGCAGAAGTTCTACTCCAAGTATCTCCCAGATAACCAAACTTCTCACCCTATCTCTAAGGGAGAGTCCAGCTACCCTGCAGAGGAAACTCATTTCAACCGCCTGTATCCACGATCTCATTCTTTCAGTCACTACCCAGAGCTTGTGACCATAGGTGAGGGTAACCAACCAGTAAACAGAGAGCTTCGCCTTACAGCTCAGTTCCCTCTTCACCACAATGGACCGGCACAGAGTCCGCAATACTGCAGATGCCACACCAATCCATCACTACTTGAGGCAGAACCATCTGCAAAGAGCAGAGAAGGATCCTGAGGTCACTGAACCAGAATCCTTCGACCCCTGGCTGCACCGAGAAATTCTGTCCGTAAAAGTTATGAATAGAATCAGTGACAATGGGCAGCCCTGGCGGAGTTCAACTACCACCCTGAAGGGGTTCGATTTACTACAGGCAAAGCAAAGCAAACTCTCTCACCACTTGTATAGGCACCAAACAACCTGTAGCAACTGGCCCCCAGTCCCATACTCACGGAGCACCCCCACAGTGTACCTCGAGGAACACGGTTGAAAGCCTTCTCCAAGTCCACAAAACATTAAATAAATAAATAAAATACATGAAAATTCAAAATTCACCAGAATAAGTTTTTGAGCTAAATCCAAATATATTGTGTTTTATGTTTCATTTCAAAATGGCCGTCACAGCTGTCAATCTTAGCCAACACAAAAACAGGTACAACTCAGTCTATTTTACAAATATTATGACAGATTTTGGTGAAGTAGCTGAGAGTCATGATCAACTCATTCTATGAGCTTTCACAGTCTGACCATAGTCGTAACTTGGTCCTTTCTCAGATTGCTTTCAAGGAATGCTAGACGCTTAGCTTAAGATCTGATCCCTGCAGCTTTGTTGATAATCTACACATGTACGTGTTTTCCATTTCTATAGTTTGATCAGTCAACGCGTCATTAGTGAGGCCTGGCTGCTTTTAAAGGCCGACACAAGTTTTCTGACTACACATTTATCACCTGTAAATCATACGTTTCGCCCCACTATGTTCCTTGTAATGATCTGTTTAGTCATCTTTAATAACAAAGGTTTGCATAGACTTTTTGTTTTTCAGTGACTTGCTGCCAGATCGCGACATAACGTTCCATACGAGCGATAAACAGTGTTTTATGTTTCTGAGCTCCTCCCATGTCACCGCCACACACGGTTTCAGCGCACCAAACACTCGTTATTAATGGTCTCTGCATGTGGGGACGTGTGAGTGGGAAGTCTGCTTATCTGGTGGCAGTGAAGCACATAAATTCAGAGGCAGCAGCTAAAGAAAATATGATTTAATTAAAATGCAGAATGTATACACTATCTTTGAAACTAACTTCTTACCTCCTGTATGTAACAAATCCAAATTAAAGATAGCCACCACAGCTGATCAACCTTATCAAACACAGTGATGACTACAACATAAGTTTTATAGATATTACACTAAAATGTGGCTTGGCAGTAGCTGAGAGTCCTTTCCAGCACATACTCTGAGTCCACTAATTTAAAACTTGGGCTTTAACTTATAGAATCAACCTTCGATTCGATTCAATTCAATAGAGTCACTTTGATTTAAGATGATTGCCACAGCTAGTTGAACTTAGCAAACGCAATAATGGCTATAACTCAGTTAGTTTTACTGATACTAAGCTAGGATTCTGTTTGGTCATAAGTGAGAGCAGTGATGGCGTCTACATTTATGTAGTGGGTATACCGCGGTAAAGTTAGTTTTACGTTGGACACCGTCGAAGCCATGGAGCGCGAATGTCCAACATAAAACTAACTTTGCCGATAGACGACGATAGATTGTTACGTAAGCGTTTAACTGCTGTTTAACGTATCAATGACACATACCTAATAATATGTCATGCATCATTGGGCACTTTTAAGTGGGTATACTGAAATTCTTAAGCTTTTCTAGTGGGTATACTCCGTATGCCCATGTATCACATAGACTACACCACTGGCTGAGTCATCCCATCACAAACTTTAAAAACTAACAAATTGTGAACGATTTCCTAAGGTTTCCTTTATGTGTTTAACCCCAATTCAAAACATTGATATGAATATACTTTTTGCCAGTGGGTGGCCCTAAAAGTGAGTATCCTGACATTTTCTGTATGCTCAGATCACTGATTCTGATGCATTAACGCGCAGCGCTAACGATGCCGACACTGCAGATGGATGACACTGAGATGTCAAAGGAACTGAGATGTACTGCCTGGTGTCACATTCACCATCTGGCCCCTTTGTGACAGAGCAGCTGGGCCTGAGTGGGACGCTTTCTGAACTTGTCAGAGAAGCGAGTACCCTTCCAAGTGTTACAGAATCTAACTCTGCCTGCGCAAAAGCATTCAGAAAAACTAGTTTATAAATTTATCAAACTAAACTTTTAGGGAGATAATGTGATGGGAACATTTAGATATTTGGATCAAAGCAAGTTGTGCTGCACTTTTTTATCTAAATGCTGAAGTCTTTGGAACATTTGAGTCATCTGTTCAAAAGAACTGAAGTGATTTATCAGCAAGTGTCTGATACTGTATTAGTTAAACGTTGTAATTAATCTTTTAAAGCTTCCTGGCGTCTTTATAACTTCACGTGCCACAATCTTACCCCTGGGCTCTCTCAGATTAGATTTATTTGTGAATAAATACCAGAAATGCACACTGTGATGGGAGTATTATTGCATCTACTGGAGAAAAAAAACAGGCAGTGTGAAAGCTGAGTGATTGAATTTACTGAAATTTGCTGATGAAGCTGAAACTGAGTTGTAAAAGATAAAAAAAACAGCAGAATACTAGTTAACCCCTAAAAGAATCTAAATGAAAGCTAAAAAAAACTTTTGCTAAATTTTTGGGAAAAGGTAGCAAAACATTTGCTAATAAATAAAAGTAACAAAACACTAGCTAAAAGTAGCAAAAGGTTTGCTAATGACAAAAGTAGCAAAAAGCCAGATAAATTTAGTAACGAGCTAGCTAAAAATAAAATAGTAAAATGACATGCTAAAAGTAGCAAGACTGGCTTGAATCTAAAAGTAGCACATTGGTAGCTGATAGCCAAAAGTAGCAGAAGAAGACAAAAAAATAACAAGTATTCTTAAGTAGATAAAAAACAAAGTTATTAAAGGAACTGAAAAATTTGTATATATTTTGAAAATTATGATTATAACAAAAACAAAGCACTGAATGAAGCCACAGTCTGTGAGGATCCACAACTTCTCCTCATCCACCATATAACCCTCAGCACTGGCTCCCCTCAGGGCTGTGTGCTGAGCCCCCTCTTGTTCCTGCTCACATAAGACTGTGCACCGACCCATCCAGGCTGTCGTAAAGTTTGCAGATGATACAGCGGTGGTTGGATGCATCACAAACAATGAGTCCGGCTACAGGAAGGAGGTGGAACACCTGGAGAGCTGGTGCAGGAAGAACAACCTTCACATCAATGTGAAGAAGATGAAGGAGATGATTGTAGATTTCAGAAGGAGCAAACACACCTACCTCCCACCTGTGCACATAAGAGGATCTGCGGTGGACACCATCTCCCGCTACAAGTACTTGGGTGTGCACCCGAATGACAACCTCAGCTGGGGCAACAACATCACCAGCCTGATCAAGAAAGCTCATCAGAGACTCTACTTCCTCAGGCGGCTGAGACAAGCTGGTCTGGAAAGCTCAGTCCTCACCTCCTTCTACATGTGTGCAGTGGAGAGCATCCTGTGCTCCAGCATCAACGTGTGGCATGGAGGCTGCACAGCTGCAAAAAGAAAAGCTTTGGTGAAGGCTGCACAAAAAACTGTTGGAGTCAGCCTCCCCACCATCACAGACATCTACACTTCCAGATGCAGGAAGAGGGCCACCTGCATCATGAAGGACCCCACTCACCCAGCACACACACTTTTTGCCCCGCTCCCCTCAGGCAGAAAGTTGTGGAGCATCAAATGTAGAACCACTAGACTGAGGAACAGCTTCTACCTTGAAGCTGTTAGACTCATAAATCCCTAATCAGGAAAATCACTGTAATGACACTTTAGTGGAGATTTGTCACTTTATTTGTGCTGCTGATTATCCATGCTGCTGATTTCTTACCCATAAGCTGCTGTATTCATATCCATCTGCTCACAACAGACTCATGTTCAGGCTACTGTTTAATATACAGTACCTTATTATATTATATTATTATTGTTTAGCGTTTATCTTAGATCCTTGCACTGTTTTCTTCTTTTTATAGTTTATATTTTGCTATTTTTGGGTGTAACTGGGACCTTGGGTACACAATTTCGTTCCACCTCATGTACCACATGTGATACGAATGACAATAAAGTCACCTTGAACCATGATCATCACAATTAGCTGAACATGTTATATGAATGGCTAAAATATCATAGATATACAGAAGTAGAAAATATGGGGAAAAAAAACAAACAGGAAAACGAGTGTGACTGCTGAATCAGGCTTGGCACAACTCCGAGGACGCCTCGTACCTCTGGATGACTTCTGCTGAATCCTGTTCCCTCTCCCTCCTTTTTCTCTGCACAAATCCCCGGAAAGCCCTGCCAGGATGTGGCACAGTATTAAAGGGATGGGAGAGGGAGAATGCTGGTGTAGTTAGGGTGGCAGTGAGAAGCCGTGCAAGGAGCAGAGTGTCATGGCTTTCAGCTGCAAGATTTATTCAGCTATGAGGGCGACTTTTATGTATAATGGCAGCAGCAGGGTCAAACTAAAGTTTCAGTTCACTCCTGCTACAAATGTACCAGCACGAGTACAATATGAGCCAGTACAGATTAGAAAAGGTGAAATTTGTGACATTTTGTGTCATGGCATGTTTCTATCTTTCTTTTTATTGTAATAGTTAGCTTTGGGTCAGTCATGTAGCTTTTAATTTTATTAATTTTAACAAACTATGTCAGATTTTGTTGTTTTGTAACAGTAATTAATTAATTAATTCAAATTCCTAAGACGCAGCTAAAATAAAATGCTAATTTTCTCATGTCGCATATAATTTCTTTATTCACAGTTTGAAATCAATACATTTTTACTGAACAAATGTTCAAGATTAAAATTAAAACACAAGTGGTCTGAAGCAAACTGGGGTGTTTTTGTGAAAGCCTGGAGCTGCATTTAGATCAACAGCTAAAAAAAAAGAAAAGATTTTACTGTTCATAAAGTCCTTCGTGTCTGCTCAAGATGGACGCTGAACAAACATGGTGTGAAACGCAGCACTTTCAGTGTGTGTCTTCAGTAGTTAACAATTGTCAACAGTCCAGTGAAACTGATCAACATTTGTTCAAATAAAAGACACAACTAAAGTCTGAGCTCCTCAAACTCTGCTAAAGATGATGTGAGTTTAACAATAATTCACTGTAAGCAAACAACATTAGCTGGCAAAAATCGTAGTAAATTGTACCATTTAATAAAGAAAAAGGTCATTTTGAATTTTATGGCAACACCACATGTCAAATAGTTTTGAACAGAGCAATGTTTACCACTGTTTGCCAGTTTAGTTCAATCATTTGAAATGTTTTCCGTGTTCGGCTGTGAAAAAATAAGACTTTATGAGATATGTAAAACATTAATTTCTGGGGTTTTTTACATTTTACACATATCAGCTTTTAAATTAGGGCTGTATATGACTTGGAGATTTAGACTGAATTTTGTAAAATAAATATAAATGTAATACTTTTCTATGAATAAAATTAGCTTTAATGCATGACGCTGAGCTTTATGGCAAAATGTGTTAAAGCCAGGACCTTCACTCAGAAGCCTGAATTTAATTTTATAATCTTTAAGGTATTTTTTAGGATTTTATATAATTTAGGTTTGATTAGTTTTATTTTCTGTTGTTTCATATACTTTTTTTGAAATGTTGTTTAAGATTTGCCCTGGAACCTTTATTTTAAAACTAAAAAGTTTATGTAGCCATCACACATTTTAATATTAATAAGCAGCTTGTGTTAGTTTTGAGTTTGGAGCAGAAAGTATGCGGAGTGAAAGGTTAAGTTTTAGTTTGTTAAAATACTAGCAATGTTAATACTGTTAGCTATAAGCGACACACCAATCATAGACAATTTATCTGCTTCGGCTTCACTAAAATCATCACTAAACTGTCAAACATGACAAATAACTTCCTGTTAAACTGAAACTAAAACGTTTACAGCCAAAAACGAGTGCCATGAAATTTATTCTCATCATTTTTTTCCCCAAAAGCGAGTTTCAGACAGTTGCTTTCAAAGTCAGCCAAAGTCAACCAGCCTGCTCGAATTCAGCAATAATTTCAACGACTGTGAAGTGCGATTACAGCCCTCTAAAATGATTGCCACATGTGTGTGTGTACGTGAGTGTGTATGTGTATGTGAGTCCAGTTGGAAGAGTTTTGGTCCTTTGACATGAAGGCCGTCATTTTCTGGACTTCACTTTGCAGACTTACTCAGCTGCAGTGGATTTACACTGGACTTTATCCCCCCCTGTTGCATGAAAATCCTGTAACTTTCTCCTTTGGGCTTTTAGTTGGAATTAAAAAGTCTCATTTGTGCTGACAGGTCTTAAATCTTAACTATCCACTACTGCCAATCAGATAATAACCCTTTAGAAAAAGTTCATTTAAAGAAAATAGAACATACAGATTGCAGCAAATGTCTATTGTTTTACAACCAGTCCAGCTCCACACACATAAAAAAGCTGCTATAATGTGTTATAGAAGTTCTAACCACAAGTGGATGAAGGTTAATAGTAGATTTCAGCTGTTAGGGACAAGTGTTAGGCGAGTTGAAAACAAGAAAAACGTGCAGGAAAGATTACTCACGATATCCTGTTAAAGGATCCCAAGAAGAATCAGAAAGCAAGAAGAGAAGAAAGAGACAAGTGTGTCAGTGCTTGATCTCCATGAATAAAACAGCAGCAGCTAATGTCACATAATAGCTGCTGACCTGTAGCATCCACTTAATATATTAACTGAATGTGATTTTAAAGGGTTGAAACAAGCAAAGCTTCAAATCGAAGGTGCAAAGCAAAGAAGGGAAAATGAGCTCAAATGGCAGAGAAGAAGCAGAACCGCAGGAGAGTCTGCATTTTTATGTGAACTAATTATGACAGCTGAGATATCTTTTATAGCTGCAGGTGATCGCGAGACAGAATCTCATTTAGCTTTCATATGCTAATGCAAGAACATTAAACCAGAAGCCCTGACTCATATTCACATTTATCTACATGTGTCGTTTGTTTAACGTCTTCATGAAAAAAACATTTGTTGTTTTTGTATGCTGCAGTCTTTGAACTACAAACTCCATATACGCTCAACTTTATTGCTATTAATGCAAACATCAGTTGTTTTTTTTAGAGACTATTAATTATTATCCACTGTCATGAAAAGCAGGCAGTTATGTAAATATCTTTGTGCATGCACTCTTCGTTTTGTCTGTTAGCAAAACATATCATGAAATATTGGATGGATTTTTGGCAAAACTCTCGGAAAGTAACTATTAAATGTTAAATAACTGATTAACTTTTGGAGATAACCTGACTCAAGATGGCCATCAGAGCTAATTTATTGTTAGTTTGACAAATATTTAGCCAAAATTTGGTGAAGTCAACAAGATCTTTGTGTAAAACTTTAACATGCAACACGATGAGCAATTTGCATTCTTTCAAAGAATTGATTTAAGCTGTGCTTGTAGCAACATTATCTTCTTTGTGGGAAAAAAGATGCAATTTTGTAATTTTTCTTTCTTCCTTAAATGTTAAATTGTTCCATATTCCTACAAAGACTGCTTAAAGGGATCTTCAACTAGTTGCAACAATAGACATTACCGTATTTTTCGGACTATAAGGCGCGCTTAAATCCATTAATTTTCTCAAAAATCGACAGTGAGCCTTATAATCGGTGCGCCTATTAATTCTGGTTGTGCTTACTGACCTCAAACCAATTTTATGTGTTACACGGTGCTCAAAAATTTGTCAAAATGAACTTGGTATGCGCTTTATAATTCGGTGAGCCTTATGTATGAAAACAGACCCGTTTGTTAATATTGCGTCTTATAATCCAGTGCGCCTTAAAGTCCAAAACATATGATAATTGATAAATAGTTACTTCAGCTTCAAAAAAGCGACACTGTAAAAATACTATAGTTTAGTTTTATAATATTTTTAAAGTGAGTGATACACAGACGTCACCCTTTTATTTACGTTGTTATACATTCTGGGTAAATGACGTAGATAGGTTGTTTCGGTGCAAGTGACATCCAGTTTGAATGCTAATTTTGGACATTATCTGACATTCAGCCCTTTAATTTGAACTGGAGCGTGTTGACAGAGAGGAGAACGCAGAAATGACTTAGTCTTTGCGTTAGCTCCAGAGCTAATAGCATTGGCTCCAGCCGTAATCACATTAGCACTTGACAAGCTGCAGCAGCCATCTTGAATCCGGTTGACTTCGATAGTTAATCAGATGTACAGTACATTCAATAATTCCTTAGGTTGAATTTCAGTTAAATTTGTCCACTGGTGCACAAATGTTTTGCTAATAAAACGACAAATTAGCATGCAGCTACAAATCAGTTACATGACTGCCCACCTTTCATGGCAGCAGGCACTAAAACATTTATAGAAGTACTGTGATTCAGTTATTCTACTTTACACTTAAAAATGGGCATCTGTGATTAATTGTTTTGTTTAATGTTTAAAGGTTTAGGATTGGAAACTCTTTCTAGCTTGCTAAAATGCAAATTGTGCAACTTGGAAGATTGAAAATCAATCTAAAAATCCAATAGAAAACTTTGGAAAATGGCTGTTAGGACTGTATTTAACAACTTTTTATAGTTAATTGTAAGAAACACCGGTTTGGTTTGTTTACGCTGACCTTTCAGACAGTAGATACAAGCTGAATCTGACAGTGTAAATAGTTGGCATGCATATTTGCATGTGTTTAAAAAGGTTGAACACTCACGCCTGCATAGTTGTTGTGGCTGTTTGAAAGGTGAACAAATTTTCCTTGGGGAACCAGTTCGTGTCCTCTGCAAGTAGAGAGAAAAATTAGCTTTCCAGTGTTCGATGGACAAAGAAAACAATCTGTGCGTCATATTGGCAGTAAGATTAAAATGAGAGCACAAAACCAGCACCAGCACCTCACAGTCCACCACTCCACAAATGGAGAGAGGGAGACACAAAGGAAGAGACAGCAGAGGAGAGACGAAGAGTCAGAAATACATGTCACATCTAACACCAACAATCCTCAAAAGACCAGAGAAGAAATTGATTTTAAGTGTATGTGTGTGTTTTGTTTAGTAAGATTAATACTGTTGAGTATCCTACGCTGGTGCCTGAAAGCAGGTAAATAATATTTCGTCTTTGGACAATTAACTATAAGCCCACTTTAGGGGGCGCTCCCATTCCCACCCATTTGGATCTCAGGGCCTCTCACTTCCTTTGTGTCCTCCACCCTCTCACCTCTCTCCAGCCCAGTCACCCGGTCCACACTCCACATCCGCTCTAGGCGTCGGTGCTGCTTGCCTGCGTCTCGGGATGTACTCTCCAGGTCCAGGGAGCCTTGGCTACGAGAGGGAGCACCGCTGCATGCTTCACAAGCCAGCCCCCTGTACTCCGCCTCCCCTTTCCCACTTTCTCCCAGGCTACGAATGTTTTGGGCGCTGACGGAGGTCTGAAGAGGTGGCTGGGACAAATTATGGTGGTGATGGGCGTGGTGGTGCATTGCGTGATGGGAGTGGGACCCTGCAACAGGTATCTGTGGCTGCACCTGGTTGCTACTGCTGCTCCCACTTGCTCCGCTTATTCCTCCACTGCTAGAAGGTGCATTTGTGAGAGTGGCGTTGTGATAATGGTGGATCCCGTGGTGATGGTTACAGCGGTGATGGTGTCCGCCACTACAGTTGTTAGCACCACGGCCACTGCTTGAGCGGTTGTGTTGGGTTGGAGATGAGGAGGCAGAGGATGGGGAAGTGGAGGGCTGAACCGAGCCCCCTCTAGACCCACCACTCCCCGACTTTTCCTTTAGGACGTCCAGTTCTAGGCTCTCTTTGCTGTCCTGGCTACTGCTCATCAACATAACACGTTGGGCAGTGATGGTGTACACACGGGCAGGCTGCAGGGCGCACTCTATAGTCTTTTTCTGGTCTTCCTCTGCTGTAAAGCTGCTTTCAAGCGGCAGACCCGTAGACTTGGTAGAAATGGTGACAGATTTGGAAGGGGGATGGATGAAACCCAGTTTTTCTTTAGCTAGCTCTTGTTTTGTCTTATAGCTTTTGGTGGCGGAGCAGGGATTGAAGTGATCGTTACTGTTGGGGCCAATTGTGTCACTTGGCGACTCCGGATCAGGACCCACCAAGGATTCACACAGAAGGTGAGCTAGAAAATAAAAGATCGAAGTGAATATAAAAATATACGATGAGAAATACACAAAAACATTAAAGAAATACAATAAAAACTTAGTATGGCACACAAGATAGAGCAGCATCATCATCTCTGTTTGGTTATCAGCTGTTGTAGCGGCCCACCAGTGAGGACAGTCTGGCATTTCAGTAGAGGATGAGGTGAAACAGTTGAAGGGAGGATTAAAACATCAATGGAACACACAGAATAGGAGTAGAGGGATAGACAAATGGCAGGTTGACAGAGACGCTGACCTGATCCGTTTCGGTTTTCAGGGTGAGTGTGGGACAGGTACTCTCCAAATGCTCGTGCTGCTCTGTGGGGATACACAAACATGACACGCATAAAGAAATTAATTCATGGGTGGAGAGGAAGGATGAATGTGAGAAGAGACAAAAGGGAAGAGAAGGAAGGAGAAAAAGGGCACGGGAACTATAAATTATAATCCTAATTGCCTTCTTTGTAAGGTTGTGCCACCCACAGATTAGGATGTGCCTGTTTTATCTTTTCTCTTCCAGCCAGTCTTAGCTGGAGATGAAGACATTGAGACAGCAGGAAGAGATAAAGTGAAGACTGTTTTAGGTAATTTCACAGTACGACCTCAGTTTGCGTTGGTGGATCTAACCACAAACAAGGTGACTGAGTGCATGTACTGGTATGTGCGAGTATACGCTGTAACCGTGGGTCAAGGAAAATACTCATAAAGACAAATACTAAGACGTGCTAAAAATGCACTCTGACAAAAATGTTAGAAGGAATGATTTGATTGGGATCAAAATTTGGTACTAAAGTAGGCCAGTGATGAGTATAAAGATGATTTGATTTGCAACAAGCTGGCCCATCTAGAATGCACACCAGAGGACATAAGGGGGTGACATCATGAGTGGAACGAGCGTTGTCAAGCAGTTGAAGGTCACCAGACACAGAGGATACTTCATAGATGCATTAGCATTACCAGCACTTGACAAAGTTTGGTAGGAGTCAGTGTGATTTTGCATGAGGTTGGATGGTTGTATCTTGCAAGTGTCTGGCATGTCACAGTGGCACAATGTCTGAAGTGGTTTCATAACTTGGAGGCATAGACCGCTGACAAGTGGGGCTGTAACACGTCGAACAATGGTTGTCAGTTCTGCTTCGCCACTGATGACCGATGTGTGTGTGCACATGGCTGTCTCGAGGGGAGAGAAATAATCCTGTCAACGTCGTGGATACATGCACCGATGTTATTCCTGGCATCATGATGTGAGAAGCCATAAGTTATGACTTCAAATCACCTACTTACACATGTGCAGTCCTCCTGTGACAGCACCCTGGTTTAGTCTTTTTAAGAAAAAGCCTGTCCACGTATATTTGTGGGCTGCGGACTATGCAGTTTTTTGATCTTTCCCTAATGAAAACATATTTGGATTCATCTCGGGCACGGACTCTGCATCAGAGTCAGTCTGCTGGATCTCAAGGGCCAGTGACAACAGTTGTAAGATGATTTGCTGCAGGAGAGGATACAGTAATGCTCAGAATACTCCTCCCTGACACGAGGCCACTGGTGTGCTTGTACGGCTTACTCTGCCATCGATCTGATCGGATATTGTAATTATTGCAATACAGTCACATGACCTTTCAACATATGCAGTTTAATTTCATTTCCACCCCTCCATCTGGGAGCTTTATGGTTTTATCAGTAAGTGAAGATGGCAAGAAATCCATAACTTCATATTCTTATGGATTTGGTTTTACTGAAACAAAAACGAGCCAGTTCCAGCAAATATAGCTAAAAGTCAATAGAGAAACTTTATTTAATATAATGGATCCACCAACCTATTTTTATCTGAGTACTACAGCATCTGTTAAGAATAACAACCTGTAACTTGTTTTTCCTGGTGAATATGACTTGAGACTTTGACTTGTTTTATTATTTAACATATCAAGGCTTGTGTAGGCGAGCAATTCTGAGGAGAAGCTTTTCACATATTTAGAACATCTTCTGAGTTTGTTGAATCCAACCCTTCCATTATGCTTTGGCTGTCATTCAACTTTGTCAATCTGCACAGGAACCTGACAGTCTGCAAAAGTGAGAAAGATAAAATTTAGCTTAACTGTGAAAACAGGCTAAAAATAAAGTGCAGGGGGAAAAAGTCAAACCAAGCTTTTAACCATCTAAACGCTTGCCTGTATGGTGGCTCTTATGCTAAATGTATTCATTAATGTTGGTAAGTGTTGTGCGCCCTCTATCCTGACTTCACTAACATGAATTACAACTATTTTAAGGATAATGTGATTGCCGACTGGACTCCTTCTCTCAAGTATTTTTCTTTAACCCATACCAACTTACTCTTTATGTGCTCTCACATCACACATATTTTCTTTAGGCTATTATTTATAAAAGAAACACATTTTAAATGCCATAATTTTTCCCTTATTGTTGCAGATGAACATCGCTGTCTCTCACTTTCACTCTTCATCTTCTGAGTGCAAGATTGAATACCATGCATGTCAAAATTATTATTGATTTTAACTGAGTTTTAAATTACTATATGACTGTTTAATAAATAGGAATTATATCTAGTTGCATGGAATCAGATGTATGTGGCCAAGTTTGCCTAAATTTTTGGTCCGGTGAGAATTAAAACTTATAATGTTCAACATAATTAAAATAACAAAGACATTAAGGGGGCAGTCTGTTTACTTTTAAACCAGATGTGAGCAACTTAAGGCTCGAGGGCCAAAAAGCGGCCCTTGGACAATCGCCATCTGCCCCCCCAAAATTAAAACAAACAAACAAACAAGATTTATTAAAAGAATCACAATTTATCAACGAGACTTAAGAAATTTTAAATTAAACATCTTACGTAAAACTTAAAAAAAAAAAAAACATTTTTAAGTCATGTTTCCAGAACTAGACTGAACTAACTTAAGACTTGAAGCAAAAATGTTTGTTTTGCATATTTCCGCTAACATGTACAACATATTAAGCTAACACATATGTTAAGCTAACACATATAACATGTTAAGCTAACGTGTATAATATATTGTCAGAAAATCCAGTTTACAGAATATGTCTAATATTCCTAAACGATATTGGAAAGACATGTTTTAAAAAGCATGCTAACTATGCTACAACAAGAAAAACCTTGAAAAAGTTGTAAAAATAAAAAATAAAACAAAATCCAAATTTGTATGCGGCCCTTTGATTGCTTTAAACGTCTTGATGTGACCCATTGGAAAAAATATGTTGCCAACTTCTGTTCATGAATAGTTATAAATACTTATTAACTTATCAGCAGTGACATCAGTCACAAGCCTTTTTATTAGTTTATTAATCAGAACGTTTTAGTTTTATTCATACTAAAGTGTGATCAGCTATGTCATTTGTAATTATTGTAGTCTGGCATTTTGAGTTGTTTTCCCCATTTCTCTCAGCTTCACACCTGTTCCTCATCAGTAATCACTCACCTGCTCTCATTCAATGATCAACCTTCTCAGTAGTTACTGTGATTGGCTTCACAAATTCATTATTGCATCCTTGTCATCCTCACCCTGATATATGTTTAGTAATTTTTTTTTTTTGTAGTTATGTTTTTGGTTATATTAAGTCTTGGACTTCCCCTGCCTGCAGTCTTGGATCCACAACTCTGACAGACAGCTCAGATTTGTAGTATTCCACCCATGCAAACATGCTGATTTATGCAGCTGCTGTACTTATATCTGTGCTGGGTGGGCACAGCTACATTTTTCCATTTTGAACATTCACACGGTGACCATACTGTCTCATGTGGAGGCTCTGAAATGCTTGAATTTAACGTTCTGCATGGCAGCTAGACTGAGTGAATCGCACTGTGTAAAGCTGGCTCCTGTGGCTACAATTTAAAATTAAACCGTTTTTCTCAGAAAGTCATGCTTTTAAGACAATTCACCTCACTACAGCCATAACATCCCTTTCTGTTTTAGTAGCTCAAGACCTGGTCCATGAAAGGAAACTATGGTTAGTGAAGTTAAATTAGTGAACACTAAACACTTTATTACTGGGAAAATATTTACCAAACCATCGATTATAACGTTGTCATATCTTTTTAACTATAAAAAGTTTGCTAAAACTAAATATCAGGCCCTAATAGCATAATCTACTTGAAGTGACCTACATTTTTACCCCCAAAGGTGATATGGCTTCTCATTATTTTATTTGCAGTCAGCTTATTATTCCCTACGGGGAATAATAAAAAATAAAGAAGGCAAGACGCAGGCTCTCGCTGAAGAAATCCCTGAACACTGGGTAATCTATAAGTGTGCACCTCCTCCCTGGCAGCTGCTTGAATTATTAAAGCTCGTCCAGCACAGCAAGTATACGGGTCACAGACATAACACTCTGATTCACAAACACAGCAGGTCTGCAGTGAAAACAGACCATTTTTAGACTGGTTTGATGCTCTGTTTATCATATGTCTCAGAGTTTCTTATTTAAACTCTGGTAAATTTAGCTCCAGGGTCAAATATTACTCAAGGAAGGGCAGCCCACTCTGTAGGTTAGTCAGACTATTTTATCTGAAAAGGTGTCATCATTGTTACACTAAAAGTGCAAACTCATTAAAATTTAGACCAGGGCTGGCTATTCAACCAAACTGCTCAGAGGGCCGCAGTTTCTGAAAGCCAACAGCTCGGGGGACGGATGTACAGTGATTAAAATCATTATGTAAATAAACCAAGGTTTAAAATGATCTGTTACCTTTTAAATGTGTTCATTTTATTGCACTGAATCATAAATGTAATAACCAGAACACAAAAAAAATAATTATAATTATGAAGTGGGCCAGATTGAAGTCACCCACAGGCCGGAAATGGCCCTCGGGCCGCCAGTTGCACAGCCCTGATTTAGACCTTTTGAAGTGGGGTTCAGTGGAAATCATATAAACAGTACGTTAGCAGTTTTAGATAGTGCCCTGAACTAGAGCTGTCATTTCTAACCTGGGCCCGAAGCCCGGCTCGGCCCAACCTGAATTTGGGCTGAGCCAGACCATAATAATGTGCTGGATGGGCGGGTTGGGTCGGTGTCGGGCTTTTGATTGTGTCAGCTGATCATCCAATTATATGGCAATATGGCTTGCCATAAAATCCAATTATATGGCAGCATGGCTTGCCATACCATCACCAGCCGCACGCAGCCATTTGATCGTGTGCTAACCAGCCTTGAAAGAGGTAAAAAATGTTCAGTTAAGCTTAAGATGGGACTACTGGGACTGCCAGGCAGCGATCCATCGCCCAAATAGACATTCAGCCTCTGCACTCAGTGCACACGCGTGGCCGACGACCCAAACAGGTGAGATT